GCTTTGAGTGGAGTGTCCAGAAAAAGTGTAAGCAATTATTAATTATTATTATTATTATTTTGTTAAGTTAATTTTTGCATGCTGAATAATGCTCCGAGTCAATGCATTAGCCAAGTCTGCTGTAACCTTAAGTGTTGCACCAGAGGCGTGGGCTGCAGCAAACTTGTGGTCCATCAGTCATCTTTCCCAAAACACAGCATGCTTTCCAGTCTTTACTTTTTTAAATCATGGAGCATACAACACATTAGGTCATTCCTTCTGCTCCAGACAGAATATGTCACTCCAATGAAACCCAGCATTCGACAGGGCAGCCTAGTGCAAATGACCATTATCATTGCCATTGTCTTTGGCATCAGTATGATAATGATGGTGATGGGAGATTTGACATTGTGGGTCTATGAGCAAACTGAAAATGACTTTTAGAATAGATAATAAAATGGTAGGATCTTAAATATGTCAAGCAAGTTGACGTCTGTAATCTTAAAGTTTCTTACAAATCTCTCTAGTACTGTAAACCTTAATTACACACAACTGTAGTGAGACTCCTCACTCCTCTTCACTGTTTTCATCCACTTCACCTGTCCCAGCTGTGGCTCATTCTATAACCATCTCTACCCCCTAGCGTCCCTGACCACAACTCCATGTCTGAAACACACTGAAGTTGTACTGACTGTCCCAACCCACTGTCTACCCATTCATATGCAGTTTTGACTAGCTGTTTCCTCTGCCTGCTTCCTCAGACTGGTCTGTTCCTCAGGCCTGGGTCTTGTTGCTATGCAAAGGGCTCTACACACTAAACATCAGATGCATGAAGAAAAGCCATGCTGCAATTTATGGATTTTCCATATGGAATCAGAGAAAACTTGTTAACAAAAAGACCACAAGAAACAACCTGAAATGGCTGTTGTGACACCATGATGAGATAAGCAATGTTGCAGCATTGTTCTGAACAGATGGTGGTGGGTTACTTTGGGTTAGCCTGCACACTAAAATTTTACCCTTGGATTGGAAGAGCTTTAAATGCAACCAACAGCACCTCCAGCAAATTGAGGCATTCACCAGTTGAGAGAAACACAACTACAAAGCCACATATCCTGAAAAGGCAGTATTGAAGATTGGGTTTTAAAAGTAGCTATTTAAGTGCCATATCTCCAATGTGATCTTTGGATATCTGAAGCTGTTATACTTACCTAACTGCCAGCCATCTGTGTGTGCCTCTTCCTTCTGCTGGTTAAGAATGTAACTGTTCTTAACAATTAAAGGGCTAAAAACTAGTCCAAGACATCCCGGAATTATTGATTAGTAGTTCGGAATCATGTATCACCTGCATCATAGAATAGATGTTTCCTATTTCTATACACACACACAGGATGAACTGGAGTACACATTCTCCCAAAATAATCAGGAAACCCGAACTGCAGGTGCTCTATGGAAAGAGAGAACTTTTACCATTCATCTCAATACAGTGTCAGGCTCAACTAGTAAAATACAAAAATATAGACAGCAACTCTGGCCACAGTCCTCTGTAATGAGCCTGAGGCAGGAACACGCAGGTTGGGCAATAGCCTCACCACTGCAGGGACTGCACAGCTTCTCTGGTGAGACGCTCCAGGTCATCGTCACTTCGTCCACTGGGTCAATACCACTGTGGCCGCGGAGTACTAATTATGGTCCTCACGTAATTGGAAGACATAATTGGAAGGGTACGAAACAGCTTTTCGTTTCTTATCTAAGAATCACTTGTGTTGCTCAAGAAAAAGTCTCTTTCCCGTGAGAAAGATGTTGGGGATAAAAAAAAC